CAGAGCCAGAAGTGAGTCCAGAGCCTTGGATGGTGGCAGCGGGAACCCCAGGCTAGCGGGTGTGCTCCAGGGAAGGGGTCGGCCGGACGGGAGGCACCCTAAGGGAGGCACTCGGAGCCTGGAAGGTGGTCGGGCGCAGGGAGGTGGGCGGCTCAACGCAGGAGCGCCCCCCACTGGCCCGCCACACTGGGAGTCCTGGATATGGACAAGAGAAGGCAGGAGACACCTTTTGCAGCATGTGAAAGCCCATCATATAGAAATGGTGTACATGGTCTTTGCTGAGCAACAAAAAGCCTTGGAGCTCTTCCCTAAGAGAGTCCATCAGGGGAACTGGAAGGAAAAAGCACCAGAAAAGCTAATTGACCCAGTACAAGGTAAGTTCCTCTGCTCTGCCCACAAGCCAGAACCACCCCTGTATCAGAAACGCTCTGAAAATGACAGCCAGTTTTTACCAGTCCTGCACCAAGCGCACCTCTTTTTATCACCATGACAGGTATCTGACATGCAGAGGGATGTCGGGAGGAGGATACTACATCTTCTGTGAATGGCAGAGCGAGTTTGAGAGCAGGTCTCCAAGTAAACACAACCAAGCCAGAGCCTGTGGCCCGTGGAGATGAAAGCCACAGGAAGGAATGTGGGCAGAAGCTTCCAGGGGTCTGGAGATAGAAGTTCCCAGATTCCATCACGTGCGCACGGGTCGCTAGAGATGGAGTCAAGGAAATGTTAATCCCAGCAGTGGTAGCAGCAGGGGCTGATAAGACTTCCCTTACCCTCTGCTGGGTCATAACTGAGGGAGGAGAAATGGGTTTTAGACAGCGCTGACTTAGGACGCTCAGACTGTTAGACATGTGGGACAGGATATGCTAGGCGAGACAGGGTAGAAATCTGAACCATTCTCTGAGGAACAGCTAGCAGTGAATTTTTCTGCCCAGTGAACTGGAGATGACACAACTGCACTGAGAAGGGAAAGGGAGATCCTTTCACCAAGACATGGCTGGAAGCACTAGGGGGTACAAGAATGGGGAAGACTCAAGTGAAGGAGGCCAGATCAAATGAAGCAAATGTTGGTGTTAAACATGAGAGAAGCATGATCACACTGTGGGGAGGACATTGATTTACCCAGGGAAACGAGGGCTCGCCAGTTCCTCAGCATCTGGTCCCGGTAAAGCCCCTTCTGTGCATCTTCCAGCAGCTCCCACTCCTCCCGTGTGAAATACACAGCCACGTCCTCAAAGGCCTCCCGAAGCTGCAGGCACAAGCGTTACCCCATCAGTGTCTCCTGGTCCAGCTGCCTCCAGCCCCCGCCACTCTCTCCATAATCCCTCTGCGCAACACCTCTCTGCGGGCTGGGCCATGACACGCAGGAGTGCAAAATGCCTCCTCCTGCACTGACAGGGGATGTGGGTGCATCCATGGACGTAGGGGTCCACGCGTCTGCCCTGGCCCAGCTCATCCCGTTCTATGTGCTCAGCCCTTCACGGCAGCACCTTTAGTGCCAGGGGCTCCATAGCTGTGGCCAGGCCTTCCCATGCCAGCTCCAGCAAGTATCAGCTGGGTGTGGCTGCAGCCCTTGTCATGAGGCTTGTTGCTCCTTAGCTCTCTCCGCTGGTTCCCCAAACTCTTAACTGTGCCCTTGGCTCCTCCCAAGCATTGCCCCAGTGGCACCCCACCCCCAGCTGGAGGTGGTGTCACCTCCATGCTCTCCGCCTGCTTCTCCAGCTTCCCCTGCCACTTCTGCCATCGGCTCAGCTCAGGGCTCAGGGAGCCCCTCTTCCCCAGCCTCCCTGAGGAAGTCCTCAGCAGCTCCAGGTTTGCAGGCCCTTCTTCAGGAAGGTGTTGATGAGCTCTGCTCACAGTTCCTGCACCTGCAGGTGGGGAAGACAACGCACAGGTCAGGCCGGGTACTGCTGGCAGGGGAAACCCCTGTTCTCCCGGACAGGCCTGTGACTGCAGCAGCCGGAAGCTTTGGTGTATGGGAGAGCGGGGAGACAGAGGACAACCACTGTAGCACTCAGACCCACACCCCAGACTGCACCCAGGCTTTCACCTGACTCAGTGTCTCGCAGGGGCTCCTCTCTGGGACCACAAGGGGGCTGGTCCTGAGGCCCCGGGCTGTCCCGCTGCACCGCCTCCTCCAGAGGCACATCTGCACTTTGGACCCAAGACTGCTCCGGCCAGGGATCGCCGGCTGCTGCA